GAATCGTGGGCGGGGGGAGGGGGGGGGAGGAAAGTTTAATCTGAATGATGCAGTCACAGTACACTGTTCAAATGTTGCTTAGGTTCCAAAATTAGCAAAGCAAGTATTCCATTGAGAGAAGATACTCACTTTGTTCAGCTGAAGAAGATAGTGATCAATGAAATCCCGGGGTTCGTGCAAGGACTGGTGTTCCTTGTGCTTCTCTATCTCCTCCTTTGCCAATCCATATATAAACTCAACGTAGGACAATGTCTTTTGATGAGGCCCAGGAATATGTCGCATCAGCCAGGGAAGTATTTCATACATCTAAAACAGAGTAGCAGCAGCATCATCTCACTGTTACAGTAACACAACCTATTATCCACTCCTTGGAATAAACAGTTTGGTAACATGGGCTGGATCATTGCTTGTGGACAGTGGCATCTATGAAGGGGGTCAAAACAAGCAAAATGGTGGACATGGCATCCAAGCCCTACCCCTTTTGTACATGCATCATGCACCTACAAAGGGGTAGATCTTGGATCACTCATTTGCCATCTTGCCTGTTTTGACCTTCTGTGGAAGCTGCTGCAGGCTCCTACTCCACGAGGGCAAGGGGTTCTTTATTACATTTGAGAGGTTCACCAGCTTCATCCTATAGTAGATATCCCAGACTCCTAAATTAGAATGATCCTCAGTGTACAAATACACTGTTAGGATCTCTTGCTATGTAGCATTGTAGAAAGAGAGTCATGATAGCCTATGGTGGTAAAAAATCAGGAGACCGGTAGTCCCTTTTCCAACTAACACATTTTCTTAAAAGGCATAGACTTTTGTGAACTAATGTGGGATTTAAATGGGGACAGGGAAGGGAGGGAAAAAGGGTAGTTATACAGATGTGGGTTACCTGTGAAACAGATCAAAAGTACCTTATCAATTAACAATTGCAATGTGCTAAAACCCACTGTCAACAAACACAGTAGATCTTTAACACATAACTGTTGATTAACTAGGTACTTGCAATATGTCTCACACCTAACCTACATCTGCATAACCAAAATGTCATCCCATCCCTCCCCCCTTTCTCTTCCCCCACCTCACGTGAATTGAAATCCTACATCACGCTAGCCACTCATTCAACTGATGAAAGCAGTGCAGCTCACAAAAGTTTATGCCTTGAAATAAAACGTGTTACTGTAAGACTTCTCCTGATTTGGGTCTTTATAGCACTACATTAGAAGGTAATCTAGAACACCTCACAGTGAGCTGCTGACTTTCAACATAGTTGGCCACACACAGGTACGTACACACACAATTCAAAACGCAGACATCTCACTCATACACTGCTATAAATCAAGATGAGGAATGTCTTCTTTCTCCAGTAAACAAAACTGATTAAAGTCTGCCCCAGACAGGATGAGCTTCTAGTCCTGCCACCCCTTAATCTGTCCAGTTGAGGAGTTCTTAGCTCTGCCACCTAGACTCCTCCCTTCGGCCTGGCTCTTAGAAAATAAAACGGAAGGCGCGTTCAATCTTCTATCCCAAAGCCTGAGATTATAGACCTTAAAAACCTTGGGTCAGTCCTGAAAAACAAGGAACAGCTGTCTTACACATGGGAATGTTTTAATAAAAAGTTTCCGATTAACCAATGAAATGAAACCTCTAGATATTAAAAAAGGATATTATTGGGAAAAAAGGAATACTGGAAAAACAAAATAAGGCAACAGTCACTCAGAGGGAATTCCAAATAAAGTCAGTATAGTCAGACTAGCTAAACTATTTGGTTATTACCTACTTAAATAAAATCTGAGTTTCAGAACATATTCAGGCTTCATTGCAGAGAAGATAGATAGATCACCTAGAGCTCCTGCTTGGATGTTGTTCGGCAGACCCTCCTTTCCTCCAGTTTATGTCTTCTTTTTTCCCTTTTTCCAAGGGTTAGGCTCACATTTATTGAATATAGGGATAAGTGAAAGTGAGCTTATCTGGGGTGACTGACTGTTGCTTTGCCCAATTATGAGCAAAAATGATCCATCTCAGATGTCCTGAGTCTAGCCAACAAATAAGACATTTTCTAATGGACAATGATCATAATAGGTTTTGATAAAATTGTTGACTAATGTCCAACAGTTATGCCATTGCATTAAAAAGATTATATGGGATAAGCTTTTTGGGGGAAAGAAAAGATCATTTATTGCTATTCAGGACTTCAATATGAGGTCAATTCTGGCATATCAAAAAGTAGAGTTTTGTCACATAGACATACTCAGTTACAGGTAGTCCTCACTTAACAATAGTTAATGGGACCAGCAACTCATAGCTAAGTGATATGGTCATAAATTGTGACATCACATGACCGTGCTGATTTACGCCAGAGTTCCAGCACTTCCAGCTGCCATCATTAAGTGAATCCTGTGCCGTTGTTAAGCGTGACGACACATGGCCGCCATTTGCAACCTCCTGCTGGTTTCCACATTGACTTTGCTTGTTGGAAGCCGGCAATGAAGGTCACAAATGGTGATCATGTGACCTTGGGACACTACGATCATCGTAATTGCAAGCCAGTCACCAAGTGCCGAAATTGCAATCACATGACCATGGGGGCACTGCAATGGCTGCAACTATGAGGACTGATCATAAGTCCCACTCGTTCAGCACCGTCGTAATTTTGAATGGTTACTGAACAAGTGGTCATTAAGTGAGAACTACCTGTAGTCTCTCTCCTTTCCTTCTGCTCTCCCCTGCACTGCACCATTTACTACATACATTCATTTACACTCTCTCTTGTTAAAATCCAGCACTCTTATTGCTATAATATAGGTTTTTAGATCACCATAACATAGGTTTTTAAAACAGTCTGAATCGATCTGGTAGGAAAACAAAACCTTACTCACAACATGAAAGAAGCTACCTACAAATCTTGAACCAAAATGTATGGCTTCTGTTAGTTTCTGGAAGTTTTCATCTTCAAGAGAGAATCGGTACCCAAACGCCAAGGTGGCTATCAAATTGAAGAAAGCATTAGTGATTGGCAATAAAGGATCCAGGGGCTGACCTGAAAATTAAGAAATTGATTGTCAAATTAATATAATACATGAGGATAGAATGCCTTCTATCCCAGAAATGCAGAAATTGAATTTAAAGATTTATGCAAACTAGCACTCATGCCAATGGCTTTAGCTGGTGTCACCTACCCTTTGAATGGGCAAAGATCTCCACTAGCCGATGGGCCTCTTCTTCTATTTGACTCTCGATGCCTTTCCTCCCCACTCCAAGTTTTCGCATAATAAGTAAACCAAATCTCCTTTGCTGCTTCCATGTGTGACCATTGGAAAGAATAATACCTGAATCCATCAGAAATAAGTGAGAAATTATTACTCACAAAGAGAGATGCTTCAAAGTTATTAAATCATCAGCTTAGAAGAGGCCATGTTCAACAGGTCATACCTGTATTTTTTCAGGAGTAAAGAATTTACAAGAATGATGCAGAATCAGATACAAGCTTAAAGAAATAGTCTTTAACACAAAATGCTAAAATTGGATTTGTTCACATCGGCTTGATTGTCTAAGGCAGGACCAAGTAACAAATGATGGCTTATTTTTTAAGCCATAAATTCTCCTTTAAAGCCACAGTTTGGAGTTGGTTTACATATCCAGGTTTGTTTTAAGCATGGCTCATCATTAGATCTGATCTGGAATCCTTGCTAATTCCTAGTTTGTTTCTATTGTTATTAATGTATTCTTAGCTGCTCAAACTCACATTTGGAAGATCGGCAGCCATATAAATCAGTGTTTTTCAAACTTGGCAACTTTATGATGTGTGGACTTCAATTCCCAGAATTCCCCAGCCAGCACATCTTAAAGTTGCCATATTTGAAAAACACTGATATATAGTACTGTGGAAAAGTTTTAGGCAGGTGTGAAAAAATGCTGTAAAATAAGG